CCATCTCTCTGATAACTTGAAAATTCCACGCTCGTAGAAAGTCTGATCCTTTTCGACCAAAGACTGAGTTAAGTGAGATTTTACAGCATCATCATCATTAAAAGTTTTATCACGAAGGGAGTTGTCCAGGGATCGAAATAAGTGGTAATCCGATGGCGCGAGATCAGGGCTATATGGTGGGTGTAACATCAATTCCCAACCAATATCCATCAATTTTTGCCGAGTGGACAAAGACGTGTGCGGCCTAGCATTGTCCTGCTGGAAAATGACACCTTTACGATTGACCAATTCTGGTCGCTTTTCCTTGACCGCTGCATTCAATTTATCCAGTTGCTAACATTCACGGATAATAAAAAATAACATAATAATAATAATAATAATAATTTTATAATATAACATTTACGGATATCATAAAAATGGGAGTGAGAGACATCTATATCTGAAATCGGCGATTACTTAATTGCCAACCCAATATCTCCAGTACTTCTGGTTGTTCTTCAGCTTCCAAGGTTTTATCCAAATCAAAGAGGTTCGCGGATCTTTGGAATCGAAATAGAATACTCACCCTTTTGATAGTGTTCTCGCGATCGTGACTGTGAACGAGAAAAACCCGCAACGCGTCCAAGGCACCCTTTCGCACCGCCGGCGCCGGGTGGCCCAAATTATTGACCAGCTCCGGTACCACTGGTTGCATGACCTTGTCCACGGTGTCGGCATTCAAAGTCGGCAGCACGTCTATCAGCACGCGAACTGCGTGTTGACGCACCTCCCATTCTGGATCACGCAGTCTCTCCGAGATCTCCAGGAACGTGAGACGAGTGTCGACCTCGCTCGGGAACTTGCGAGTTCGCACCTGCATTTACCACACATCATTCGCCAAATGATTCGTACATCGATTCATCCACCTATTCCATAAGAATGAATATCAAATATGTCGACATAGAGTCGTTACATTTTTCAAGTCCATTTTCAAAGTCCACCTAAGAAAGAATGGATATCTGGGTAACAGTTTGAAGAGAATAGGATCTCTTGGCAAGTTTTCCTGAAAAAAATTAATGAACGTCTTCTGAAAACAGGTGTTTCGTTGAAGAATATACGTACTGGATGATTTGTAGCAATTTCTTTTGCTGTGAAATCTTGAAAAATGGCCGAGTAACGCAACCTTTACTCTAATACAGTTCTCATTGTTAAGGCTTTCGACTAATTAGTTCAGAAAAAAATGCCCAAATATCGTGTTCTTTCAGATTGTTAGCTAGACACGACCCTCAGGGATTAAGGGTTAAACTACCAGTGCTTTTGTTCCTCTATCGAGGCTGTAGCTTTGGCAGAGTGTACGATACTGACCACGTGTTCCCAGAGAGGAGTGAGCTGTATAGGCTGTCCGTTCGGTGAGGTCAATGTCATCTTTCTTGAGTGTCGATGACGATGACCTCGTCGGGTCGGTGTCTCAGGAGTCGAGCAGAAATCGAAGGGTGCCAGCTGCGCAGGAAGGGCCGTGGGATCCTTCGGGGGCTGCAAAGGCCCCGTGTCCGTCGATCCTGTCATAGATGACGAGAACTCGAAGCACTCGGACATACCACTACCCTACGTCTCGTCCCTCGGGCACTGCGGGTTCTTCACCATCTTCTTCTTCGGGAACCGATTCCTTGATTCCAGATCGTTCATCGAGTCACGCGAGGACAGACCTGATCGACAGGATTCGTTACATATTTACGAGGCCGCGCTATCAACGCCTCCGACCGTTACGATTGCACTGTAATTACATTCCTGAATCCTCGCAAGACGGTGGTTGTGTCAACTTTGACTCAGATTGTCTAAATCGTTCGCTTGATTACTCAATTTCCGGCAATGAAATCAAATAAATTGCTGTCGCATTAGAAACAACAGAAAGGCTAATAAATCTGCAAGAAACATCTTGAAAAATATGTATTGAAAAATTGCTGAATGAAGCTCAGGATTGTTATAAACCAACTGTTAATTGTATAATTGTGAAAATGGTCCGCCCCTCCGAGGGTTGATCGGTGAGAATTCATTTTTTTGTTACTTTAGGTTCTCAAGACAAGACTGCGAATGGCTGAATATTATGAAACATCTTTCACGTACAACGATGATACCGTTTTTTAGCTGCTGGATTTCGTTGCTCACATGTCACGAGCTTAATTATTCGCAGTGGGATAGTAGTCCAATCAAAGCACTCTGAGAAGGATGGGCAGACCCAGAGAATGGGTCAATATTGTCTTCGTACAGCGTAACAACACGGTTGATAGGATCACGAGAACTATAATTAGTCTCGCGAGTGCAGGGAACAAAAATAATTCTCGTTCCAAGTGTTGCGAATCGATAGTAAAAATTAGAAATTATCATAGAAAAAAAAGAAATTATCATAGAAATCACAGAAGAACGTTAAATTGAAAACAAATAAGAGCTAGATGAAAATTGAAACGATCCTAAAGACGGCGGAGCTAACGCACAAATGGCGAATTGACTCTTCAACCCCAGCGAGCGGGACAAACGGCACGGACATATTAAGTCAATTGTTCCCTCGCGACTCTAGATCGCCATGAGATATCAAGTCCGATTAAAATTGAATAATACCGCTGGCTCTGCGAGAGTCACGTCCCGAGGACGAGACTGCTATATTCCCGGTAACCTGTAACGTTCGCTTCCGACTTCCGCAGTGATCGATCAGCGATATTTCCTCCATTTCCGGCACATGCTGGCTTACGAATGTACGAAATGATTGACATTAGCGAGACTCTAACCAGTTAGCGACTGACGCACACACGGCTTCCGGTCTCGGTTACAGAATCAATCACAGCGGTCACGGAACATGCTTCGATATTCGTTTGCGAGATACGCGGGGGATGTCACCCCCCGATGCAAATTTCAACGTCTGACAATTCGTGATGCATAGTTTACGGGAAAACGTCTTGCTTCTCTGTCCAGTTCGATTCTTCCTGGACAGGTGTGTCCCTCTTGAAACAATGCTGATACAACGAAGGTAAGTACCAAAGGGGTTAAGCATTGATTGATGGAATCGTTGCTGATTTCGATAAACTTTAAACTCATTCTTGATTGAGTGATAATTTTGTACATTAATTGAACTGATAAGGGAAGGGAGAATTACAGGCAAGGGAGAAATACACCTCCCCCCCCTTCTCCTCCAAAAGTATTAGGACGCCTGCTGATTTAGTATAAATTGTAATTTCTCGTTCAGTTTAAGTAATGCTTTATGTTTAGTATTAAGTTTTATGGCATCGTACTGTCGAAAGTACACATTCAGTGAAAACGTATGCCGAGTTCATTTTGTACGAAACGTTTTCGAACTGCAACATCCATGATACCAAATAGGATAAAAGATAATAGACAAACTAATAAAACAGATGTCGAAGTTAGTTCAAGAAGTAATTATAATACGCGGTGGGTATGTCGACGAAAAGAAAATTTAATTTTCTTTTATAAAATTGACGTTATTTTTATTACAATGTAAATATATATGTACTTGTTACAGTTTAATACAATTAACTTTGAAATAAATTGATGAAATTATAACAATTTTTGAATCAATCAAAATTGGATTGATAACGTGCAAGGGGAAATTATGTCTCTTCTGCAACGGAGTTGATGCAATAAATGGATAAAACTAATCACGCCTGGCTGCAATAAATTAGTAGATTTCTCTCTCTCTCTCTCTCTCTTTCTCTCTCTCTCTCTCTCTCTTTCTCTCTCTCTCTCTCTCTCTCTCTCTCTCCAGTCTATGCTCATTTTTAACTTACTCAGTTAAAATTAGACTAAGATGTCAGGAAATATTTGAATGTGAGACCTTAGGATCCAGGAACACCCATCGCAAAGTGCCTATTACTGTGCAAAATTCGCAGAAAATCGAGTGGCGTTCCAGGCTGACATTCACTGGTAATTTCGCTCGTGGTCCTCTCACGTGCAGGTTTCGTGAATCATGCGAGCCTATCATTGTCGATCGCGGCTCGATTCAATTAATTATACAGGCAACAAGCTCGCTGATCGCCGATTACCTGAAAATAGCGTCCCAATCTCCCATATGCATGTTTACACCTGACGCGAGTGACACTTTCGGAATGGGCTCGTGATCGGGCACCGGGGGTAACTCGGCCGTGTAATTTTCATGTCGAATATTACACGAGGGAACGGTCGCCTAATCCAGCCCCCGGCGGCCGATATTATTAAGAAAGGAGAAAAAGAAAGCGGAAGAGGGAAAAAAAGGCAGGGAAGGAATCGAGGCGAAGTCGTGGAGTTTATCATCGGATCTCGCGACACGAACCCCACATAAAAGTAGTACACACGAAAGGCGATTGCATAATCCAAAGAAAACGTGCGTGCGTCTGGAGACCCGGCTGGGGGAGAGGGTTTGTCCTATCTGCGAGGCCGTGTAGTGGGTGAACACGTCCCTCCCTCGCTTATGGCGCGAAACATTTTCCCTTTTCGCGCCGTGCTTTTCCCTGAACCACATTTTCATGCATTGCCCTGCTGGCAATTATTTCGCTATTATCCCAAGTCAATTGCTGTGCCGGCAGCAATTTCGATCGTCTACCAGAAATTCGCCCCTAATCTAATCATTTCTCTCGGAATCGTTTGTTGAACAACGAATTTTCCGTTTATTTACTGTGAAAACCGTTGATACTCGAATCAAGTCTCTACTACATGATTTCAAATTTTCCAATTGAACATCGAATCAAATTTATCGAATTCGATCTCGAATCAATTGCAATCGATTGTTTCGATCACGCTAACTTTTCGCGGTCTTTCATTTCTATTGGCTGTCACGTGACCATAAGACCGTTACATACGTCACCATAGACAGCTCAAGTCGATTCAAAACGTCGGGAGAATTTTTAATGCGCAGCTCCGTTACCTCGCATTCTGTTTAAAAAATAAATCTATTACTTAAAGAATATTTATTACCAATTTATTAATAATTTACCTACCGATAAATAATTATCAGTCTTTTGCAAATCAAAGATAAATAATTCAAGATTTTCTAACGGATTGTTCGAAAGCTGCAATGATTATAATTTAAGTGAGACAATTGTTAACCTGCTTGACAATATACCACGGTTAATTAAAAAAGCCTATTTGTAGGCCTTTACTGTCTAAAGTGTCTATGACTATTGACAGCAATAAATTTGGTCTGATCTGTCACGATCCCAAGAAAAGTACCAGTTAAGAAGCAGAGTTTATGTTTAAACTACCCTGCCGTGGCACAAAATACTTGTAACAGTGTAGAGCGCCACGGTTCTGTTCATTATAAACTATAAAAATCGCAGCTGACTTACCCGATCGTCGTACACAGGCGAGAACCAAAGAAGTTGTACGATATAACAATGCATGTGTCACACTTGCTACGCTGGTCACATTTATGAACTGATCGATTCGATCACAAACATTTCTCGATTCATCTGTAACAGTACATGTTCGATGACAGGCGACGCGGTGTCAAGGGACAACGATCCCAACGCGAAATTCACGCGACCACTGTCGACATGTGACTGCCCAAGAGCCGGTTCACCAAGCAAGGTGGTTTTGCAGCTACTATCGACCACCCTCCCCCCTCTTCGCGAAAAACGGTTTCACATAGTTAATCGCTACCACACTGCGCGGCGAGGCAATAGCAAATGCAATAGGACACCCCTTGGATTTTTCGCGCCTTTCGAAACGAGCGATACCAATTTTTTGAATAAAGTATACCATCCGCATCCCTCTAATACAGAAGTGACTATTATTCGCGTCGTTTTCCAGCAATTATACCACACATATCGCAATATTCTAATGCGTTGTTATAAATCCTCATTTATCCATAGAATAACCCTCTTTTCGTTTTATGACACTATCACTGCCTTCGCATGAAATCGAATGATGATAAACAACAAATAGGGATTATACTAACAGTTACAATAACATTGTGGTACCTCGAAGTATAACACTTTTCTTGAAATTTCAATAGAAACTGCACTTTAAATTCGAATATGCAGCTATGATATGTCAATTAAGGTTACCCAATCAAATCAAATGTATGATGTAATGACAGTAACAGAAGTGCTCTCATGTGGAGAATTTTGGAAATTCGCTTACGGAATTTTATCCGTAAAAAGTAATTTCGTGGAGAGTATAAGAATCATTTTTCTGTATTAACAACTAGTTAATGTACTATTGATAAAAATAGTAGAGTGTATTCTTCAACCCGTGTGAACGTACCAAGAATATTAGCATATCATTGATGCCGATAATTCGAAATTTTCCCGCCAATTCACGTTTTGATAGAACCCGGGACATTCGATTTGAATTTATATCAAATGATCGAGTGCAATGTTTGCACTTCAGATAAAATAGCATAGATAAAATAAAATTTGTATAATTGATTATTCTAACGGTCCACCCGTATATACGAAAGATACATTTTGTAACTAGAAAGTACCGTTTACACGGACGGAATTACAGAAGATAAGAAACTTGTAAAAATTCAATACTTTAAATTTTTAATAATTTTTAATAATTATAACAATTGTAAATATTCGTAGTTAAAGTAAGTTTAATGTGCGATTAGTAAATTTACATATTTCATTTTATAGAAAAAACGCTAATGATTCAGAAAAAACCACATGTATATTTTTTGTATACAATAGAAAACAATAGAAAATAATTTAAGTATGAATGTGTGGTTTGTTTACAATTTTCTCGCACATAATGTTTCCACTTACTTATTATAGATGCTAAAATAATCCACGATATTTTGTAGACAATAAAGGTAGAACTATCTTTCAGTCTGAATGTATATAAATATGTATATATAATGTATATAAATATAGAATAATAAGAAAGAGATTGAACTCATAACGATTAATACTTTCTTAACATTCTACACTGGTTTCTGCGAATACAGAATGACCGCACAACTTACCATAACAATAGAAATCACTGTGTTTAAGTAAATAGGAATACTGAACATTAACCAACATAAAACTGCAGTAAACACCAACTCTAATGCACTGGCGAATGTTTTTAGTATAGAGTTCAAGCACTTCAGGAAAAAGCTCGTGATTATTCCAATTGATGCGTTATTCAACATAATTAACATAACTTTTGGTTGTAGCAATACATTAGGATGAATTTCACTAAACACATCTGACGAACTACTCTGCGAGATGTATAGTACCATAAGTATTACAAGATTACAAAAAATGCTGTCGATGTACATAAATATATTTTGTATGAACATATTAATATTCGCCCCTTGTTCTTTTAGCAGGTATTCATTGTATACCCCGGCCAGACAGGAGCAAATTGCCTGAAAATTTTTAAATGTTCATGTCAAACTTTACTGAATGCTATACATTACTATACACTGACTGCATATTGAACACACCTGTATAAATATGAGGAATATATTACTAGTTAGATTAATTTTGCTACTAAGAATGTTAACATCAAAATCCAGATCTATATATTTTACCATACATCCGATGGTCAATATTATCAGCGATAGCCATTGTTTCATTGATAATTTTTTATTAAAAATTACCTGTAAGAAACAATTTTTTAGAAAAAATTTTAGCTGTTTTGAGTCATATGAAAATCCTGTTTTAGTACCTGGAAAATAATTCCAGTAAGGACAACACGAAATTGCAACAACACATAGTAAGTTGTTGGGTCAAATGCAGCCAAGTTAATGAATGCCAGATTATTGTACAGACAGTACAAAAATGAAGGTATCATATATAATAGTAGCACTAAAACAAAAATGATTCCAATAATAATCATTTTGTTCAATAAAATTCAATGTTAAAGTCATTGGATTATTACACAAATACTATTTAATACTTGCAAAAGTAAAATTACTGGGGCTTATCTTATCTTTTCCTTGGTTCGCTCAAGGTGTGTACACAAATACAATGTTTTAGATAGCATATGTGAACAATTAAAGCTACTTTTTCCTTCTAAGCGACTAATTCTATATTATAGGCTAAATGTTTCAATAAAATATAAGTCTAGAATAATTGAATCACCTACTTCATAAACTTTACGTCCCGTGAAAATATTTATTTACCTTTTTTATTTCCTGTGGCTTCTTGGCAAAGACTTGTAACGCTATTACTATAAATACAATGATGATTCAATAACCTGGATCCACAGTTTATTCAATTCGCAGAACATCATTTTACTTACTCTTTGCAGTATAATATTGTTGAGACAATCAATTTAATTACTTCAGTCATTAACACTACCACAACAATATTGTATTCATAGTTCCCATTTCGCTGTGACCAAGTTACAATAATACCTAAAATAAAATTAATTATTTAACAACATTGTTGACTAATTGATTAATTATTTAACAACTTAGTTGATGACAATAAAAATAGTTGATACTGCTTAATAAAAAATTATAACTGTCTTTAATACGTTATCATGTGTGTGTTACCAAGCAAATCCTAAACCGGTAAATACTATATTACGAAAAATAAAAATAAAGTACTTAACCATACGAACATTACCCTGGTTCACGAAAAGTGCAATATAAGAAACAAAAATGACAAAGCTCCATCTTCCTGGAAATAATTCTCCCCAATTTATAGTTCCCATTGCAGACTGCAGACTTTATTAATTAAAGTGGTTATGTTAATAATATTTGTATTCATGGATTGTGACTACCGCATCCGATAGGTACCAAAGTCTCAAACCAACTGATACCAACTGATGTCAACTGATATCAAATGCATGTGGAATGATATCACATGTTTGTGACGTTCCAGACGTGACGACGTAACAGCAAAAGGCGGGAAGATTTCATGTATGTATGTACCACGTGTTACTACAATTGCACATACAAGAGTATTCTTATTACTATGTTAGAAAATGGGATAGTTCTTAGTAATAAAACTTATATGGTAAATATTTACTTAATCTTTTTATCTTTTTTACCTTTTAGGAAAATATTTACTTTGCATTTATTATGAATATGGTATCTGTGTAATAAGACAATAAATATCAATACTACATGGCCATGATCGAGATAGAGCTAATTTTCAGAATAATTTACAAATAAATATTGTACCATTATCTGGGTACATTAGATTAGAAGAGTTACGACAATGGTGTGATAATAGATTAAGAGGTAAAGTAAAAGAAACATTTTGAAAATATATAATATATATACATAATAAAAGTCAATAAATCTTGTTACACAAAGTAAAATACATTTATAAGAATTCTATCTATCCTTTTATGAGAGCTTTGTACCTTAACAAGAATATAATTTTATTTTATAGTTCTAAAGCTAATAGAGTAAATAACATTGAAAAATTATTTTAAAAAGCACCTATACAATGTACAGAAATGTTAATAAATGAATTGGAAAATATGTACTGGCATTCACGATGTTGTAAGAAATGATC